AAAACGTTAATATCCATTACCTCCCCAGAGTAGCAGTGACCATTGACGGTGTGTTCAGATCCGGTTTCATTTGTCTTACCCCAGTGGCAATGGAACTGTTCCAATACATATTCGTCCGACAGAGGTCCTCCTTTTAGGCCTGTAGAGAAAAAAGAATTAATTTCATCACTGGAAAATAATCATACAGGAAACTGAAAATACACGTTATACAGATAGACTTTGTTGCATTAGCTAGCAAAAGTACCTTCAAGAATCACAACATATATCAACATCAAACAGTTTCTCTCCAACTCACTTGAGCTTCCCCCAGCAACTTGAGCCTTCCATGAATGTCCGCTGTTGGAGAGCTCCGAGATCCTGATGTCTTGATACATCACCTGAATGGCAGTTAGGCTACTGTCGCACGGGCAACTCGACCCCTTGATGTCAATAGGGGACTGGTGACTGCCACCAGCAATGGGGTAAAGGCTGGCCCATGTAGCGGGACCTGTAACAGAAGATCACTATGAAAAAAACGCAATAATTTTCTCCATACTCATGGAAATACCAACAAAATCGCAAAAATAGCGGTAAGTCTTCTTCGATTCTTTATGAACGCTAATTGATACTATACGAGGTAATTCCACGCAAAGCCCTTTAAAACTCTTAATAGCATACAGAGAAACACAAACTATATGCTAAATGTTAAAAGGTAGCGTGACTAGACGAATTTAAGGGAAGGAGGAGGAAGAATACCATTCTTTTCTCCTACAGTTGTGTGATTCTAGACACACAAGAGGATGAAAGCATGATGCATGTGTAAGGTTTCAGGTCTTGACAAGCTTTGTTATGACAAAGCCAGTTTTACGAAGCATCATCAGTTTTACGAAGCATCAACACGCATCTAAATCTAAAACCGACACGCCAAGGATCATAACTAACCTAATCACTATAGATGAAAATATCATTATTATTATTATTATTATTATTATTATTATTATTAATTAATTAATTAATGATCAAAATAATGGAGTAAAGTGTGTACAGATATATAAATATAGTTGTATTAATAATAAACAAATAATTCATAAAATTGAGGATCGCACAAAGACTGCAAGAGTAACAAGAGACCATAGGGATCAAAGTGGTTATGCAAAGGGACCAATAAAAGACGCCCATAGTTCTGTATAAAAGACGACTTCGCTCACTCCAATTCACTCGCTCAACCTACGCCGTCATTCACCGAGTCTCTCCCTCCGTCTCCCAAGAGGAAATGAAAGGGAAAGGGAAAGGACACGAATCGTTCCACCCTGGACGTAAAAGGTTTTAGTGGTTGATATGAACTTGAGCGATGGTGTCTGAGGGTTGGAGAAAGTTCCTCTGCAATATGGTGAACCTTCGTTCCCGCCCGCTTCCTCCCCGCCAGAAATCGCACCTCTCCTTAGACAGCCTTGGAGCAAATACATGAGCTGTTAGTGTGTTATTTTTCTCTCTCTCGCGCGCGCTATAATTGTTAATTTCTTTAGTGTTTTTTTTCAGGCAAGACTTCATACCAAAAAAATATATTCTCGCGCTAATGAAAAGTTTTGAACCACTACAAAAGTTGGCACTTCTTATTAGCGTCCGTTGGGTGGCACCTGTTTCTCCCTGGGCCCCGCCCCCGCTGCCCTCGCCCTCCCTCTCTTCCTCTCCCTCTCTCTCCCCTCTGCCCCCGTCAATCTCCCTCTCCCTGGCACTGTAATGAAACTATAAATAAGTAATGAGACCAATTCCTCTCACTATCTGGCATAATTACCCGATGCATGAATTAGCGAGTAATTATATATACACATCATTAATGAATACTTAAAATATCTTTACGAATACAAATATCACAAATGTTCCCGGCGTTCCACCAGGCTCTGTTTCGTATCCACGTGACAAGCTCTGACGTCAAAGCGCGCCAGTGTTATAACCGTCGTGGATCCCGCAACGCGTGCGCATGTTGCATACTATGCGTCAGAGCACGTAAGCATACCCGTCTCTGATATTCTCACTTTTGAGAGCGAGAAAGGTTATCGAATCTCATTAAATATGAGACAGGTAGATGAAATAATATATGTTGAAGAGGCGGAGGGAGAGTGTGGGACGGAATTGATGTACTGAAAGCTATTGTTATGGTTACTGCATTGTAAGGCAGAGTTCATTAATCAAGCCGTGTCAAGTGGTACACAAAACAGCACGGGGACAGCAAAATAACGTCTAAACTAATGGCTTTACACGTGCAAAATATAAAGGCAGCACCCACCATTAATTCCATGTACATAAAGCTACCTTCAAGAGTTTAATCATAAAATTGATTCGATTTTTAAAAAAATGTTGTCCTTTACCGTGAGTCATATTTCCAGGAAAATCCAGTACATTATGTAGCACCGCGCGGAACTTCATTTTCTTGTGTACGAAGAAAAAAATAAAACTTATATCACCGGCACAGAAAATTGTTCAAAGCATTAAGCGCTCAGATTCATGTGGTAAATCTCGCATAATGGTTCGTTGAAGGTTAGTCTACGTGCGTTAATGTAGTCTTCAATGAATTAGCAAGTCCAAATTGTTATCAAGATTTAAAGTTTCGCCCATTCCACACACACACACACACACACACACTATACCTACAGCTATGAGAGACTCCTTGGAATGCAAGCCCGTATAATCCATTCCCGAGTACTCTGGGCGCCGCTCCTGAATGTGCAAGACAGACGAGCTACTGCGTCAATAAAGTTCAATTATCTTCAATTCACCTTGTCCCTCATCATATAAGGTCTTTTCATCCCCGTGTTCTCGTACAATTCCCTATATTATTATTTACATACACGCGGATATTTTTATTTTTTTTATTTTTTTAATAAATACTCCCGTCAATGTATTTACACGTTTGTCCAAGGACTTCTTCACCTATATCCCAAATAAAGCAAAGCATGCAAATACTCTCAACCTCTATATTCATCCATACAAAACAAAGGCCAAAGTAAGGCAAACGTTTCAATCACATGTAAACTGCACAATGATTACAAGGAAAACAGTAACACCAACTCACCTCGATATTGGGGCGTATAGATTACTCATCACCCATGAGTCACGAGACTGTTTGGGCTGTTACTTCCGCCTGATATCGAGGCAACTTTCCTATTTCTAAAATTCTAACTTCAATTCAATCCATTGCTTTAATCTATACACATGACAATATCTATACAAGGCAAAAAATAAATGTAAACTGAAATGCATCCTGTGTAAATTATGGAAGTTAAAATATTTGCACTTCTCATTCCGATAACATTACTTGTGGTGGTTATTTCAACCGACCTTCACGGACTAGAACATGTGTTCTTGTAGCACCTGAGGTGTCGCATTTCTAAACATCCGAATTATATTAAGTACAAAAAAGGGTCTACAAATTGTGCCCATTAATCAGATATTCTATGTCGAGAATCAATCAGCAATAACTCTTTATATGGAAGATAAAAACATTATCAATGCAAAGCGGTCACATTATAATACCGTTAAGAATAATTCAACCACCTAGAGTTCTAACTTTTCCTAATAAGGAAATAATGCAGAATTAACCTGACACTCACCCACCCCAGACCAGTCAGCCAACAATTTAACAAAAACCACCCCCCACACCACCGATACCCCCTCCCCCCCCTGGCACTGATCTTGCAGTATATCTCGCAACGAAAGCGCCAGACGAGGTTTGTTTACACTAAACGTGCAACTCGATCCTAGACTAACAAAGGATGCAATTTAGATACACGTGAACACTTAATTTAAATCCCCTTCTTGCAAAATAGTTCACATGTGTTTGCCGCAAAGCGCTCGACCGTAACATTTCATACATTTGGATACTAGTTCTTAAAAAAAAAATGTAATCACGAAATCAGACAGTGGCTCCGAGATGTCTGCTTTCTCACCTTGTATCGACCGCAGATTGAATGGCGAGATGGGGAGAGTCGTGGTGTACTGTAGTTTTGCCATAACCAAATTTCAAGTTAATAGATTTTAAGCACTTTGGGAGAGTGGGAGAGTGGGAGAGTGGGAGAGTGGGAGAGTGGGAGAGTGGGAGAGTGGGAGAGTGGGAGAGTGGGAGAGTGGGAGAGTGGGAGAGTGGGAGAGTGGGATTTGCAAAGATTTTTCTCGTATCACAAATCTAGCATTCGCGTTACCCACTACACAACATAAGAACGACCCAGATTGACCAGGCAACAACCCCTGCTAAAACTAGAACAATAGTATAGATTTACTTATTTTAGTCACAGTAACAACCCCAGTGTAATGCAACGAGTGTAATATGAACTGAAGAATGCTAGATTACAAGTTTGATGTCGGATGCACTCATTTCGCAACACGGTCTGTCATTAGAGTTTATTACAGATAATAGCGATATTAGCTAGTAAGCACATGTGCAATGTTGACGTCAGGCAGGTATGACAACACGAAGGTAATCTGAACAGTTAAATGGAACTTAGTTTACACTCAGAGGCGAATAAAAAAATTATAACGAATAAAAAATAAGTACTAAAAAAATATATAGACCTGGGTTCGTTACAAGCTGTAATTATCACAAAAAGACGCACAAAAACACTTCATCCCAGCTTGCCTACGGGTGGAGACTGAGACGGAGTAGGGCATGCAACAAGGTGGAGAGAACGCAGGTCAAGGTTTTACGCTATGGGGTGTCTTCGGGTACTTTCAGTTGTGAGGAAAACCTTGGTGTTGGGGATCCCATTCGTGTTTATAATAAGGAAAGGGATGGGGAGGTGGGAAGAGTGAATGAATAAATTAATACTGTACACACTCACAAGAGAGGAGACAGAGGAGGGAGAGAAGAGAAGGGAAGAAAAGAAAAGAGGGATAAAAAAGGGAAGAACCGACAAGAACCTTCACAGAGGGGATAGAGGCTGCACCAACCATATAATCCGACCATGATCTTTCCCGCGCATTTCGTCATTCTGGTCTACCTTCTCGCGTGTTTGTGGCGGCCGGTTCTCGAGCGATATATAATAAATTGCCATCGTGATTCCACAACTTGGTTGCTTTATCGTGTTGTTCTTTTAGACTATGGATTAGTAGTACTTTTAATTATAATAAGCTTTTTAAATAGCGTAGAGTAATCGGTATTCATTTCTTTGTTTTCGCTCGCGTGTAAAATAACCATTTATCAACAGAATCTTCTGCGGTAACTCTACATACACAAAACCAACAAACCCGAAAACGTGCAGAGCCATAATTCAGCGCATTCGGTGCACTGCAACACTCGTCAAGCCCGTAGAGTAAACAAGAGACGACAGGTGCTACGGTTTAGATTTCGCCCCAACTTATAATTATAAACTGCTGCAGCTTCCACTTATGCTATCTTCACTTCATATTCTTAGGAGAGAGCTTTGTTGGCACCCACAGCATAGTCAGGAATGCCATATTTGATACTAGTGCGATGCATGGCACCAGGATGTCTGTTGGTATGACTGGCTGCAT